TGTATGGATTGTGAGAAGAGTTGTATGAGCCCCTAATAAAATGATTAAAAGAAAAAAAGTGAAGACCAGAGTCCAGCAGCAGCAGTTCTCAGCAAGGCTGTGGTTTCTGACACTTCTTCCTCCGTCCCCCTGACGCCCTGTTGCAATCTGCCACCACCCCGCCCCACCAACAAACTCATTTCCTAAGGTCCTGATCCCTTTAGGGCTGTGGGGGAAGCGCCCTGTATTGCTGGGGAAACCAGATGGCTGGTTTTGTGGGGGGAGGAGAGCAAAGAGGTGGCAAGGCAGCCTGGTGATAAAGAGATGGGGGCTTATTGATCTCCTCAGTACTTGCTTGAGGAGGGTGGGCAGGAAAGGCCCTGGGGCCTGAGGTCTGGTGATGACTTCCCTCCCCTTTCAATCACTGTACAGTTTTTTAAAGACTAATGTCAAAAGAGTTGCATACTTAATCCAGCCGCCATGTAACTATGGAAGCGGTAAAGTTGAGATTTCGTTCTCTGATTGGCCCTACTGCCCCTAACTCAGGGGCACTTGCCCCTTCCCTGAGAGTCACAGTCTTGGTCACATCATCCCTTTGTGACATCGCCTCCCCTCAGGGCTGCCCAGAGCACCAAGTTAGGAATGCCAACGCCGTCCTGTCCCTTCCTCACCTAGCCTGTGGTTGTGATTGGTGGGTGTGATTTGGATCCCTGTGACAGAGAGCACTGTCCCACAGGGGTTCCCAGAGCCCAGGGCTTCTTAAACTGCCCCCACTCGTGACCCTTTTCACACGAGGCATCTGTAACACAGGCAAGTGCTGACACACACACATCGGATTCATTACCTGTTTGATTTTTAATTAATGTTGGGGTTACTGGGTTTTTCCACTCCCCATTCGGTTCTGCAGCCCACTGGGCGGGGGCCCACTGTTTAAGGAGCTTTGGAAGGAGGCTGCCCTCTTTAAGGCGCCATGGCTCAAGCCATCCAGCCCATTCTGGCTCACAGCGGCCCTGTAGGACAGAGGAGAACTGTGCCTGGAGGTTTCTGAGATTGTGGGAGCAGAAAGCCTCATTTTTCTCCCATGGGGCCTCTGGTGGTTTCGAACTGCCGATCCTGTGGTTAGCTGCTCAACTCAAAGCACAGCACACCACCAGCGCTCTCCCTGCGAACGAACGTGTAATAGCCAGTCTGTCTTCTAAGGAGCCACAGACTCCTGAACCAATCATACACAGGACTACTTAACTTCTGGAAATCTTTCCAGAACCTTCCAGCTCGCCCTTCTCACGCATCTTCACAAGCACTTTCTGTCAGTGGTCAGTCTCATCCAAGTCTAAGTCCTTGGAGGCCAGGCCCGCATAGCTCCAAAGCCTGACCTTAGAGGGGTCCCTTAACCCTTGGATGGTTTTTCCCAGCTGTAAACTGCAAACAACACCAGTTCCTACCTCTGATGCAGATCAAGCGGGGGTAATGGGCTCGCCTCCCAAGGCAGCTTTATGGGGTTGTGGCAGGAATGGTTAAGCGCAGGGTTGCTAGCTGAAACGTTGCCAGTTCGAATCCTCCCAGAGCCGCCTTGGAAGCCAAAGGTCTGAGAATCTACCTCCCAGAGGTCCCAGAAAACGCCCTTCTCGGCACAGGGCTGGTCTGGCACAGGCGGGGGCGCGGGCGGGCATGCCCTTCTCCCGAGCCCGAGGCCGCCCGCGCTCCTCGGACCCCTCCCACCGACCCCCTCAACCCCAAGGGCTAGAATATGGTGGAAAAGACGACACCAGACGGCGGCCGCGGAAGGAAGGAAGGAAGGAAAGGGAGAAGTAAGGAGCAGCCGCCCGCCGCCCAGGCCTGTGGTGGGCGGGGCTGCGCGGTGGGCGGGGCTCCCGCGCCCCGCCCCGCCCCCCCCGCAGCTGCTGATTGGCCCGCCCCGGGTGTCGTCACTCTGCGGGTTTTAAGCCCGAGCGCCTCGCCAGCTCCGCAGAAGCGGCGGTGACGGAGCGCGGGGCCGGCGGGGCGCGGGAGAGCCGCGGCCGACGGAAGGTAAAGGGGCAGTTCTGGCCCGGCCTCGGCGGCCTCGGGTGCTGGGGAGCCCAGGGAGCTTTTGTGGCGACCGGAGAAAAGTGTGAGCGGGAGGGGGTCGCCCGGCCCCGGGGAAGGGGTCGCGGTGGAAGGAGGGGCGTGCAGGCTGGGTGGGAGCCGGCCGCAGCCCTGGGGTCCAAGCTCCCACACCCTGATCTCAATGTGTGGGTGTGGGTGTGTAGGACGCTGCCCGACTTCCCTCTTCTGGCTAAGATTCTCGCCCGGGGAATGGGGGGTCGCGGCCAGAGCTCTTAGAAGAGGCTCGACAGGCGGACAGTCCACACCATCCAGACCTCGACCCGCGCCTGGGTGTCCGGGCGACTCGGTCCGCTAATAGGCTTGTCAGCGTCTCCAGGGGCGGGGAGCGACTTGCCACCTCTTCGGTTGGCTTCTGCTAATCTGCAGCCGATTCGTGCTTACTGACCATCACCTCCGTTTGCACCCCCTTAGGTCACACGCCTGTGGTCCCCTGCAATTTCAAGGCCTGCTCCTTGCCCCTCCCGGGGCCCTGCGACCTAGCTGTGGAGCACCATGGGGAACCACTTGACCGAGATGGCGCCCACCGCCTCCTTCTTGCCCCACTTTCAAGCCCTGCACGTCGTGGTCATCGGGCTGGACTCGTCCGGGAAGACCTCCCTCCTTTACCGCCTGAAGTTCAAGGAGTTCGTGCAGAGTGTCCCGACCAAAGGCTTCAACACAGAAAAGATCCGGGTGCCCCTGGGGGGGTCCCGCGGCATCACCTTCCAAGTGTGGGACGTGGGGGGACAGGAGAAGCTGCGGCCGCTGTGGCGCTCCTACACGCGCAGGACGGACGGGCTGGTGTTTGTGGTGGACGCTGCTGAGGCCGAGCGCCTGGAGGAGGCCAAGGTGGAGCTCCACCGGATCAGCCGGGCCTCGGACAACCAGGGCGTGCCTGTGCTGGTGCTGGCCAACAAGCAGGACCAGCCGGGGGCCCTGAGCGCGGCCGAGGTGGAGAAGAGACTGGGGGTCCGAGAGCTGGCAGCCGCCACTCTCACGCACGTGCAGGGCTGCAGCGCCGTGGACGGCCAGGGCCTGCAGCCGGGCCTGGAGCGCCTGTACGAGATGATCCTCAAGAGGAAGAAGGCTGCTCGAGGCAGCAAGAAGAGACGGTGACCCGAGGACGCCCCTCCCCACGGAGTCGGGGTCTGCACGCTGGGACAGCGAGGCAGGCGGAGCCCCTTGGACTCATCCCGAGGTGCAGGGCTCGCCACTCGATGAAGGACGGAGGCTCACTGGGGCTCCTGTTGGGGTGCCATTTCGTGGGGGTGGACCGATGATGGCATCTTCTGCGCCTCTCTCCCGCAGCCCTGGGAGAGGAGGGAGCTGCAGGAGTGTGGAGGCGACATGTAAACTGTGACTCTACCTCGACCCACAGTCTCGTCTGTTTTCTTCTCTGGCCTTTGAATCAGATGGGTCGGGCAGCCCTTGGGAGACTGCCCCTGGGAGGCGTGAGAACTTCCCTGGAGGGGGGTGGGGTGGGGGTGTCTCCCAGCTGCTCCTCTGCAGGGGAGAGCCAGTCGCAAGAGTCTTTATTTTTGCGTCCGTGAAAATGCCAAGAACCCCTTCCCCAATTTGTAGACCCACAGCCCTTTTTATAGGCCGCGTGTGCACACTGTATTACTATGAGCAATGGACTATTTTTTGGTATTTGCCTGTAAGTTATTAAAGACTGATGACACTGTAGCGCTCACCTTGGTCTGGAAATGTTCTCACCTTACCTGGCCCTAGTACAGCTCGGGATTCCTTTATGGGGTGGAGGGTGGGAGGGGTTTGCTCGGAAGCTGAATTGGCAAAGCGAGCCCTCTTCTAAAACAATAGATTGTGTACCTCTGGATAGTTAGCGGACAACTATTCCCTGACCTGTCACCCCCCCACCCTGCTCCGTTTTTCCCTTCTCATCCCTCAGTTCCTGCCCCCTGCCACCAGCTGCTCCTTGTTGCATTTGATTTCATGTATTGCTGGTCTGAGCTCCTCTTGGGTTTCAAAGAGTTTTGCTGTGCCCCAGCACTCAGGTTGGCCTAACGCCTACCTCTCCTCCCTGTCAGTCACCCCCCACTTGGGGATGTGGTGCGAATGGAAAGTAATTCTTCCCTGGCTTTAAGCCACCTCTGAGCACTCAGTTCTGCTGACTGCAGCTCTCTGACAAGGGTGGCAGTGACTGGCGCTGGGGAGGCCCCAGGCTGGATGGAGCTGGCCTGGCTCTGGTGACTCAGGCAGGAACCTGCCAGCTCTGGGAGCTGCGGTCATTCCTCCCAACGGGGCAGCTCGGAGCTGTGTGCACCTGGTGAAGGCCACCTTCCTGGGGAGGAGGGGAGGACACAGACCCCATGGCCACTTGTGACAGATGTAGAGGCCCTGAGCTCCCCCCAGCTAGCAGCATCAGGGCCAACAGTGGCTGAGATAACATAACAATTAGATGATTCTAGGTGGGAGGGGTGAGTGAAAACCAAGCTCAGACCCCCTAGCCCCTGGCCCTATCCTTAGTGCAAACAGAATGGGCTGGGTCCAGAGTCCTGTGGGTCCTGTGGAATCGGAAGAGCCAGGGGAGGAATCCTAAGGGATGTACTGCTTCCTAGTTGTCCCCAAGCCCTAGGCAGGCCCGACTCCTGCTAGGTCTGGCTCAGTTCAGCTTTGCTCTTTGTCTCCAGCCTCACAGGATCAGGGACAGGTGTGCACAGACCCGGAACAGGGTCCGAAGGCGAGTCAGCTGCAGGGTGGTTCTGCTGCCCGTGCCTCTGCTCCACACACCTGTGACTCATCTCCCCCGTCGGTCCTCCAGGTAGAGCCCCCTTTTGCAGCCCAGAAAATGCCTAGGCCAGAGAGAGTTTCTGCCCCGCTGCGGAATCATTCTCCCACTCCACTCAGCTGTATATGTGCACTCCAAGGACAGATCTTCTCCATTTTGGTCACCTGGGAGACAGGTGTCTAGATTTTGTAGGGGGTGGGGAGGAGGGGATGGTGTGGGTCTCCTCTGCCCCTCCCCTCTCCTAGCAGAGGGACCTCCCAGGTGCCAGCCTCTGCTTTGGACCCTGCCAAACCCCTTCCTCCCTATCTGGCCTAACTGCCAGGTGGTGGCAGGTGAGCGTGAGCTGGGGAAAGCTAGTTGCTCTGAAGGGATGGGAGAAGGGAATGCTGGGGGAATTCTGATTAGAAGGTTATGTCAGCCGCGTGGCTGATCTGGGAGCTTTGGAATAATCCTGCTTTGATCCACCAAAGGGCCAAAGGCGAGTTGGGAGGGAGAGGTCACCTGAATGGGGCCTAGGGCCCTGCCCCAGGGCTGCAGGAACTCTGTGTGTTGAGCTCTGGGCCACAGGTCAGGATGGAGGGGGGCGGTGAGGTGTGAGTGGGTTGTAGTTCTCTGGTCCCAGTTTCTTGGTTCAGTTGAGTTTCTATCGGACTCTGAGCAGGTTGCAGCAAAAAAGCCTCCCTAGGCAGTCACTTGGGGGCCTGGGGTAGGTCGGCAGGGGGTGGACACCTGTGAGGAGAGGTTGAAGAAAGCCCATGGACCCTGGACTCGGGCTTCCTGCTGTGGCACTCCTTCCCCCACCCCCACCCCCACCTTGCACACAGGTTGAAGGAGAGCAGTTGGCCCAAGTGCCTTTCCCTTTTCTGAGCACCTCCTTGGAAGGTCTAGATCCTCGTAGACCAGCTCTTTGCCCTCCCAGGGCAGATGGGAGAGCTGCACACATCCACCACCGCTCGGAGCTCTGACTCCTCCTTGCCTCCTCCGCCCGATTAGATAAGGGCTCACTTTTGCTCCTCCAGGCCCTTGCTGGGTCGAGGCAACTTTATCACTAAAGCCCAGCACAGCTTTGGCTCCAATCTGGCCAGAAATCCCCACCCTCCCTCCACTTTGACCACGTGCCATTCCAAGTCGTTCTTTTTCTTTATTATTTTTGAAAACACGGTTTTGCGATGCTTTGGGTGGAAGCTGACAGCAAATGAGGTGCCCCATGTAATGCTTTGTGTACAAATCATTCCGTGATGTTGGTTACACGGTGGACAATGTGTCCCTTCTTCTCCTGATTTCCATCCTGTTTCCACGACGCGAACCTCGCCGCCCCTCCCTGTTTCTCATCTTTGCTCTGGGGCAGTGCTGTCTATTTAAGGGCGCACAACGCTCATGGGGCCTTTGGGGTCTTTCACAGGGCAGTCAATTATTTGGGTGAAAGGTGACCTCCAGGTGTGGCGTCAGTTCCAGCTCAAAGAGTATCTTAGGGCAATGGTTTCAGGGGTTCATCTGGTCTCAATTTTATTAGTTCAGTAAGTCTGGCTTTTTTAAAAAGACATTTGAGATTTATTCTACATCTTTCTCCCATTCCATCTAGAACTTTCTCCTGGGGCCCTGGCCAGAATGGTCGGTAGTGGTAGCAAGCACCCGAGTTTGGAAATGGCCACCTCCCTCCCCTGGGTCTGGAGACAGTTGCGTTCCCATGAGTGCTTTGGGGTACACCCGGATGGCCACCAGCACTTCAACACGAACCTCTTTGGCATGGGAGCCAGAAGAGGGGGGGCAGTGGAGGCAACAAGGAAGGCTCTGGCCAAACCTCTGGTCACACATCATTTCCAAGGTGCCTATAGGGCCCAGGCTGCTCTGCTCACTGGGGGTTGTGGCTGGCTATCTATCATGGGATCTTCCTCCCTGGCCCTGGCGGGGGTGGGGGTGGGGGGGCTGATGGTATTTGTCCTTTCTTCCTTTTCTGAACATTAAACATTTCAAGAATTATTTTTGCTGTGCTTCTCTCGGAGCCCTGGCGGCGTAGTGAAGTGGTTTCACATTGGGCTGTTAACCGCAGGGCAGCAGTTGGAAACCACGGGTCGCTCTCCTTGGGAGAAGGACGAGGCTCTACTCCCGTAAAGAGTCAGTCTCGGAAACCCACAGGGGCCGTTCTGCCCTGTCCCACAGGGCGGCTCGCTAGGAGTCAGAGCTGACTCCATGGCAGCGAGTTTGATTTGATTTGTTCCTTGGGTGCGTCCCTGGATGGCAAAAGCAACAGGTCATTGTGGTGAACGAAACGTAACTTAAAGGAAGCACGTGTCATCTGAACTTCACAGCTAAGGGCGTTTGCATAGTCTTCGAGCTATTTTTCCCCTGCATATATGAAAAGACAAGTGTGGATGGATGTGGGATTCTCGGGTGCATTTGTGCCCTAGTGTGGCTGTCCGCATAGCTTGGCCGTGAGCCGCCGTCCGGACATATGGACATGTGGGTGACGACGTGGGGTTCCATTGTGTGGAAGGACAGCCAGCCGCTGCCCCAGTGAACCCTCCGTGCACGAGCTCCTCCGCAGGCCATGGTGCCTTCCTCAGCCACAGGGCAGCAAGCAAGTCCCTCTGCACACCCTCCTGGGGAGGTTTCCCGGAAGAGAGAGTCCCAGCAGTGTAGCTAGTGTGTGTCAGGGTAAACGCATTTAGAGTTCTCCTAGGCACTGACAAAGACCTTGCA